CAGTGGTGCAAAGCGTGAGCTATTAAACTTCCACTTCTTCATACACATTGAATAAATTTATGTGCTTGCCCTTGCCTCCCTCACCCGGATGTGTATATTTGCTTCCGGAAACAACAGGCGCGTCGAGTGCAGACCACACACCACAAGTGACGACGGCCTCAAGTAAATCTGGTTAGTAGTGGTTCATAGTGATAGCTGATAGTTGGTAAATGATAGTTGTAATTAGTGACAACTGATAGAATACAACTGCAACAGGCTAATCATTTCATTGGCAGAAAACATTTACATTTTGTGGAGGCCGTCGTCACTTGTGGTGTGTGGTCTGCACTCCACGCGATCTGGTTTTCCTAAGCAGAGATTGCTTTCCTTAGTGATGTTTCATCATTTCCATAAAGCTTTCTAAGTCTTACTCTGTTGGGGGGGGGGGGGGGGAGGGGGGGGACTAGGCGGTGGCCACGAAAACTGCCACGCTGCGGTTATAGTAACGGCTCTTATGACTAAGCCTTAGAGGTGCAGAGGAAACAGAGCGCCACGCCCTAACTAAGTTAGCACCGCTTTCCCTTGAACTTGTGCCTAGTAATCAAGGAGTAGTTGCAGACGTTTCCTACGGTCTTTCGAAAACGTTTTCAGCAGTTCAATAAGTCCTGGGCAGGGGAACTCTCCCAGCAATGACTGTGGGAGAGTGCCAGGTGATCCTCCTGATCACAGCGTTATTTTCATTCCATTTTATCGTGGCTCGATATTTTTCATGGACAGCAGTTTCTGCACGCGCGATACCGTGCGCGTCACATGGCTGCTGAGAGATGGGCAACTCGTGAAAAAAGTACCATTTATTCCAGTCACCCAACGAGTTTGTGGTTTAGTTTCAATGTTCGGCCCTCTACCTGAAACCTGCTAGTTTTGATTAGTAATCTGTGACCGTCAAATTGGACATTCTCTCCTGTACCGCTCAATAATGCAGTTCGATACCCAATTCGAGCTTTCTGCGCGAAACCGATGTTTCGATATCGGTGGATACGTAGGACATCATCGAAATTAACATCACTGACTCTACCTAGTCGATGCCGTGGCTCGATAATCCTTCCGAGACCGCTGCACAAAGCCAATATTTCCGATGCCTTCCAATGGCCTAGAAGCGTACAGAATTTTAACTTGCACAGTTCTACAAAGTTTTTTCTCGGTATATGGGCTTTTCTGAACCGAGTTGAAAGTTTCGTGGAGGGCCCCGCCCAATTCGGTGCACGCCCCACCCACCAATAGCCCCTTTTTGCCCTTTCTTTTCAGCCAGCCTCTATACACTTCTCTGTCTTCGGCCCTTACCCGAACCGATTTATGAGGATTTGTTGAAAACTCCGTTCACGAAGACATTACGCTGGGCGGTCTTCCGCTCACTTTGAGTGTGCTTTGTAGTAACTGAGGTGTCGCTTATCTCCACCGGTTTCTCTCTGCTTTTTGTACCGTCTCTTAGCCGAGTTATGCAACTTCTTGGTAAGCACAGTCAATTCAAAGAACGCACCGTGGGTATTCCTAGTTATAATAGATCTGACAGTCCGGTGCACCCGACCACTCATTTTTTCCCGGTCTCTGAGTCTAATGGCAAATCAGGGGTTTCACTGTCGATCCGTCCCATATTGGTGCGCGCCCCGCCCACAGGGGGCGGAACACCGTTTAGTTTATGTGTGTTCTGTAGTTCTTGGCCAATGCGTCATCCATCACAAATTAAAGCTATCCACTCCAGTGATTTTTTTTTAGGAAATAACGAAGTTCGTTGTGGCCGACAATTAAACACAAACACCAAACTGCTGTTTTATACCCAAGGAGTTGCTGTAGCATGAGCTGCCGCATGCATATCTACAATTTAAAGGAGGAATTCACGATTAGAATGAAGGTCGAAGAAAGGGAAACTGACCTAGTTGAGGGACCCACGGACCTCCTGAGGGTGCGAACTGACGCGCAATTCGCATGGAAAAATTTGACCTCGGCGACCTATCATGCCTCAAAGCTGGCGGGTCCGGCGATCTCC